CCTAAAAGGAAATCCGGAACAAAATAGAATGATAATATGCGCGTTTATTTTACTTTAATTTTTTGTTAAATGAATGTGCTTATCTAAGTATTGATTTTGATTAAAATTTAATCGGTATTTAGCGAGATAAGTAAGAAATCTGCTTTATGAACCAGAATGGACGTAAAAATGATTGCCAGGAGAGGTGTGTGAAGGTAGGAGTGAGCAGAAAGTTACATTAAAAAGTATTTTTTTTTGGGAAGTCGTGGTATACCCACATACTATGCGCTTCTGTGGCGTACGTCAGACTGCGTTGCGATTGTTATGTAAATGGGTATTGACAATGAAATACAATTAGATGCGAGCAGTTGCTATCAGAAATCGTGGGCTATTACGTGTCTATAGGCGCATTCTAAAACTAGTTATATTAGACTTAATCAAGAAAAACATAAATCATAATGAGAAAAAAAAAGAAGGAAATTAGCAACAATTTACAACGCACATATACTTGACGTCTAGATATCGCTTAGATACGGCGTATCCATGGCATAAGGATGGCACCAATGCTGGACACAGCTATGCACCCCGCTAATTTTGATTCGCTTCCGATGGACATTTTCTTACCGCGTCTAAAGGGTAAAATAAGTATTATTATGTCATCTGTTGGGAATTCCGATGTCTAACATACATGCACGTACATACACATAAACTTTATGATACGTAGCAATTAATAACAAATTTAATATCGATATAGGACGTCCGAAGTAGCGGAATACCGATAGATGCCGGATGATTATCAATGATAATCGTTACAACCGTTCTCATAACGATAAATTCTGGGACAAATTAAAAATTTGCATGTTACCCATGTTACCCATGTTACCCGAAATTTTTCGGTTTCATCCTGTAAATTATCTAGTTCTGCGGAAAAACTTTCAATCCAGAGACAGTGATGTAGTTTCCGGTAATTACAGGATGAAACCGAAAAAATTTCGGGTTAACGAACAAATTTTTAATTTGTCACAGAATTTGTAATTTACGAAGTAGCTAAATAGCCGTAAGGTGTATTTCGATAACTCGAGTCCGAAATCTATTTTTCGAACATATAGAATACTTTATTACACCAGGGATTTGCCTTCCAAAAAAATTACAAATTTGTGCTCATTAAATTTCTATCAAAAGTAATTGTAAATGTTTGTATTATATTCACGTGGATTTATAGTTTGAGTTAAGTTTGAGTTGGAATATGTATGAACATAACGTCGTGATATTTCACGATTTCAAAGTGATACTGTGTGATATTTTAGATAGTCATAAGGTTATACGTAAATTCATAAATTCATAAATTCGAAAATTTGCATTCTATTTGACAGAATAATTCCATTCGAATTCCTTACAATGAAATGAATTTTTCCTGCAGACAATAGATTCCAAACTTCTTTTGGCTTTAACAACAAATATGAGTTTTTCCCAACAGCGTAATTTTGACATAATGTCAATGTCAGACTAATGAAAACTGTTAGCGATATTATTGCTCTTTTTTTATTATTATTAAAGAAAAAAAAACAATAGAAATATTGTTGCACGTGCATTTAATTGTTTGCGTTAGAAGGCAGTGTTTGTTTGTATGGTTCTAACATGTTGTATCACTTGGTATATCTTTAAAAATTATATAAACAGCTTTTTTAACCAATCGTGAAAACATCTAGGAGGTCACGCGTATCTTAAATTTTTTTCATCTAGTAATTTTTAGCCTTGGTGATACATTTTGATTGCTATTGAAGCATAGAATTGAATTATCACATGCATGAATGTCTCGAGTGTGCTATATTTGAGATTTAGGCGTAACTAAAAGTTTTTATATAGTTGGATGAACGCAACCAACTTTATTTTCGATCATCTTCAAATTCATATGTGATCTCAGAATGTCATTCGAAAATATTTTTCTACTGTTTTTTTTTTTCTTTAACCGGTTCGGCTCCTTGTTTTAAGAATCTTTGTAATTATACAATTAGAAATTCTAGAATTCGAATATTGTGTATAGCAGTGATTGTTTTAAAAAAAACAAAAAATGCATATAACAGTTCTTGGAATCGGTGGTACATGAATTGGTCAGCTGATTATACTGCAATTAACGTTAATGCGAGATGCATATATATGAAAAAGGATGGTTTACCGGTTTTCCACCTGCCAATTTACCTGCCAATAAATAAAGTTTTCAATAATAAAGGTCCCAACAAATTCATTTTAACAAATCTAGCAAATCGATGAATTTTTTGGGGGGAGGGTGCTTAAAATACATTTCAATACATTTCAATACATTAAACCTTAAATTTTATTAATTTTATTAAGTAAAATCTTTCATTTTACCAGTTTTTTGATCATAGGTATTAGCATGTACGTACGAGTCTATTCTGTATTTGTTCATTTAGCTACTATATTCTTTATTACGTACTTTAGTAACAATAGTAACATCATAGGTATCAACATGTCTATCCTATATTTATTCATCTAAGTTACTATACCATATAACTAATACAATCATAAGTATTAGCATGTACGTACGAGTCTATACTGTATTTGTTCATTTAACTACTTTACTATAATTAATATTATTATAGGTAATAGCATGTACATACGTACAACAAGTCTATTCTGTATTTGTTCATTTAACTATTTTTGCTATAATTATTATCTTTATAAGTATTAGCATGTACGCACGTACAAACCTATTTTGTATTGGTTTATCTCCTCTACTATAACTAATATGAGGTTAAATGCTTTATATCTAGGGTTTGGTTCAATTTACAATTCCATATGTCCAAGTTTACAATTCCGGATTAAGAAATATTCTGCTAAGCCCTTTGAATATGTAGATGAAAGGGAAAATCCCATACTTAACTAATAACGATAGTCTCAAAATATTTATAAATTCGAATTTAATCGTTTCGCATTTCACACAGTTTATCTCACGTATAAATTTGTATAGTAACAATCAACCATATTAATTTCGGCCAAGTAAACACGAAAATTCTACGTAAAAAATGCATTTTAAATTATTTAAATTATATCAACGTAAGATGATGATCTAAATCCTTTTGGATCATATTGATTGGTTCAAAAAAAATTATATATTTAAAAAATATTTTCTTGTACACTCCGATAAATACAAATACAAAGTCGGATTTGTCCGATTATTAAGGTCTGCCTTTCTTTAAAGTTATAGGTTATATTGATGTGTTCATGTTTATGGCGCATAAAATGGATCGGTTGTCCTTGTCAACGATCAAGGGGCTTAACCGCCATGAAAACCGTTTCAAAATCGGGTATCGGGTATTTTTGAAAAAATTTTTTTACGTATTTTCAAGTTACTTTGATTATCTGTATTCTGTATTATATAATATTGAATATGTAATCTCAGATGAAAAATCGTAATTTCAGATGAAAATATATAACAAACTAGTCTTAAAAAAAAAAAAAAAAAAGATAAGAAAAAAAAATCTATTGCTATAAAGAATTTATTTCATCATAATTAGATGAAAAAAAATTTCGAACCATTAGTCCATTTATTATACATTTATTAATTATTTTGAATCCTTTGTTCATTAAAAATTAAAGAGTTCTAACGCTAAGCCTTATACCAATTAATTACCAATTATATCATAAGCTTGAAATCATGCGCGGAACCCAAATTTGTATAATTGTATTGCATTACATACAAGAAATGGTGGCTGTAGTGGTAGTACGCGTTTTATTCTCTTCTTGCCCTTCGTGTAACCTTGGCAACTTAATCACGTGTCATTCACGACAAATTCACGTTTAAATTCACATTTCACTATGATGTGATACTGATAAAATGCTACCCACAAAAGAACAATACGTATTAAAAAAAGGGGTGAATTGGCGGTGTTTAAAACTTGTATTAATGATAAATTAATGATTATCAAAAAAATTAATATACAAATACCGCCCATTTCATTAAAATGCTTTTTTTACATATATGTACATATACATGTATATAGTTAAGATATAACCAAAGTTCATCCAACAAAAATAAATTATAAAATAAATAAAGTCCTTAATCCATATTATGTGCTAAAATAAGCGCACATATATATAATACTTTACAATTAATGCAATGAAGTTAAGTAAATAAACCTGCAAATTCTCAACTCAACTAAATACAAAAGTTCAAAAGTACATTACATTATTAACAAGTTTGGTTTTTTTAGAACCATTTACTTTAATGTTTGGGTTTTGAAATTTGAAATTGGAAATTGTCAGAAATTCGACTTCCTTCACAATTACATCAATCATCAAGTGGAATACTCTTAATTGCGACAATCTTATTATTTTTTAAATCGAGCCATAGTTTGAACAATTATGTGTCTTTGAAACATCCTTCACATACTCTTGACCATACGCCACCCCAATCTTCACTACCATCTGGAAATAGCAACATCGAGAAGGCACTATGTGTACTGCAAAAGATGTTCCCACATCTATTAAAAAAAATATCATTAAAATTAATAAACTTTTGTTATAACTTTTGTTATGAATTGTTTTACAAACTACATTACAAATTGCATTACAAATTGCTTAACAAATTGTGTTACAAATTGCTTTACAAATTGTGTTACAAATTGCTTTACAATTTACGTTACAACTTGCTTTATAAATTGAAGGACGCATACCTCCGACAATGATGCCTTCGATTCCACCAATTAAACTTGATCAAGCAACCAGCATGTTGACATTCTGATACTTCATCGTCTTCAACCCATCGTTTTGCCAGGCCTATATATTTAAATATATATGTTAAAAGATATTAACGAAAATAAATTAAAAGAGACATATGTATATATATTAAATAGACAATTACTGAAACGTGAATGACATCGAACTTTTTCTTCATCTGTAAATAGTAAAGCTGGGTTTGCATATGATTGTATGCGAGTCTAATTAAATCATAAAAAACGGGCGTCAATATTTAATCATAATTCCGTAATATCACGAGTTAATCACAACTTAAAATATACCCGAGGTGGTGATAAACAATATGATGGCATCAATTCGGATGAATGATAATGTTCCATTTGATTTATTGATCGTGTAATGTCTGTTAATTGACCTGACTTTCGTTTTTCTCCATCAAGACAACTACCTGAACCAGTTGAGCCTGCAGAACCGGTGGCATTAATAGTCGTCGATCCACTTATACTTTTCTGTTTCGAATGACTCCTCGAATGACCGCGAGTATCACGTGGCGTTATAGAACTCATACCAGATTGTTGTCTTTGTTGTGCCAAAAAACTTGATATTGATGATCGCGAACTTTGACTGCGATGACCTTTATGATGACCTTTATGATGAGAATCACTTTCATTTGATTGTTGACTTTGTTGTTGAGCAGCGGCAGCAGCAGCAGCAGCTTGTTGTTGTTTTATTTTTTCATTTATTAATTTATCCATTTTTCCTTCAGCATCTTTCAATAATGCTTCCATTTGATCAATCATAACAGATTGACCACTTATAACTGCCTCAAACTGTCGTATTCGTGCACGATATTCACGTTCTTGAGTTTCAAAACTAATTTCAATTTTTTCTTTAACGGTCAAAAGATCACGAAAGTCACTTTTACTTTTTTCAAGTTGTGATTTTGATAATTCTAATTCTTTTGCCAAATGTACACAGTCATTCATAATATTTTCATACTCTGGGGATAATTCATTATTATTATCCTCCGAAGTAATGTCCAAATTAATATCTGAATTACCAGCCGATAATTCTAAAGAAAGTTTTTGGACATCAGTATTTAATAATTCATTACATGAAAATGAATCATTTAAACTGGTTTCTAAAGTTCTTGTAACTTCACTTTTGGCTTCCTGATATTGTTGTTCGAGTTGTTTTTTCTCGTTCAATGTATCCACGCGATTTTTTTGTAAACCTGCCAGACTATTTTTAACCGCATCAATTTCCTTGCGTAATAAGTAAACTTCTTGCACAAGATTTGAATCGATAGCAAAAGGATTATCATATTCATCGAACATTGGTGAATTACAAGACATTGTCTCCTCGCCCGCACTATCCTCATCATCAAAACTTGTCGTCTTTTCTATACGTTCGTTATAGAAAGACGACGGTACCTGCTGACTACCTATACTCATACGACTACTGCCACTTGTGTTACTTCCAAAGCTAGTAGTTCTTGATCCTCTCGAAGGAGAACTACCACCTCTATATGTAGTATTTATTTCATTTCTATATTGTGAGTAATTTTGTGGAGGTCCATAGTCAGGTCTATTAAACACCTGTCGAGATGGAGGAGGTGTCCTTGGCATTATAGTAGGGAAAGCTTGTGAGGAAGTATCGTAAGCTAGCCTGGGAGGACGTGGTAAATTATTATATGAGGCATCTCTCCTAGGAGATCTCACGGCTTTAACGCTTACGTGCGCCAGTATGTCGTTTGAACTATTGGATCGTCTTCGTTGTCGCTATTAAGGAAAATTAAATATAAAATGATACACGTATTTTGTTAAGATAGACAAATACTAATGAAATTGTTTTGAAGCCAAAATGTTTTAAAAGATAAAAAAGAAGGAATAAAATAAAATGAAAAAAAAAATAGTTTTTTTTTTTTTCGAGACGAATAATCGAAACGAAGCTTATAGTCGACTTATTTGAAAATTATCAATACATGGGGAAATAGACTATTTACATATATATATTATATATATATAAATATATATATATATAAAAATAAAATAAAACTATATACAATAAATAAAGTATAATATATAATCGATAAAGGTCGGAATTTGAGAATGGGATCAAATTTATAATCTCAGTCAATCTTAGTTCCAGATCAGTTATGAATTCACGTTTTATAGTACATGCAGGTTAAAAAAAAAAAGGTTAAGTAAAAAAAGTCTACACCGCGAAAATATTAAATGTAAAATATGCGAGGGGATGATGTAAAAAAAGAAGAAAGGAACGACATGCATTATGCAATGAGGACAGATTAAGAATTTGGAAAAAGGTTTAAAATGTATAGCCGTGTACGTGTGGTATGACCATATATTATCACTATATTAAGTAGCATAGTCCCAGCTCACGACCCAGGCTTAATCTTTGCCGACCTTCCCAGATGACAAGACCGGATAAAGCTTGTTTCTTTGCTCGATAAGCATATGAAAAATATGAATATTTAATACTGATAGTAATCAAAGGGATACTTACCGGAGGTCTTTGTAATATGAAATCTTCAGCTGCGCTGTTAAGGACTGACAACGAAGTACCAGTCGAAGTGTTCATATCATAAAAGAATTATGAAAAGAAAATCAAGCAGGTAGAAGACGGACGGGTGACGTTCTTAAAAGAAGAAAGAAAAACGAGTCAGGAAAAAAAAATTTTTTTTTGGATAGTTTTGTTATTGCTTTCAAATATTTGTTTGTGTAAAGATGTTGCGGTTTAATATGTTGTGTTTTATATATATATGCACATATACATATATCGAAAATAACTGTTTTTATGCTAGAATTTCAAGCAATGAATGATGAATAATTTAGAATTGTCTGACAACAGGAAGCCTTTCTTATATGTGGTGCTAGAAAAAAAATTTCACGAAACAGAAAAAACCTCGGTTTGAGTGAGTGCAACAATACTTTATATACTAATTTATTTTTACAATATAATTATTATACAATACAATATAACTATAACCATTGAGCAAGGTAGCACAGCAAATCAGCCTATATATTACTAAATGTTAGCTGATGCACTATTATTATACTTATTATATTTATTATATTGGTTTATTTTCGATACCTGATTTTATCAATATAAAAAGATGAGCATATATTATTGTACACAAGTGCTTTAGGGGTAAATGTTAGTATTTTTATACATGCCAATTCTAGTTCTTTTAATTCTTTTCATAGACTCAGCATATAAATAACGTCAATTAGAGAGTAATTATTATTAAGAATTACCTCATTTTTGAAGAGAACTTGCTCATCTTTGAATGAATTCCATAAACAAAAAATTATAAAAATTATAAAAAAAATTACAAAAAATTGCAAAAATTGGGGATTTCACTAATATCTCACATGGCTATATTTGGAATTATGACCGAATTTAATATCACACTATGGCTTGTACACTTACAATTGTAATTGTAATTATATATATAAATCTTTTGTTTGCTTTTTTTAGAATTCGTGAAAACCCGTCTTTTTTCGGTAAATGTTCCTAATTTTCCACACGTTTTACTGTTCTTACAGAGTAATGCACGAAGAATTCATATGTTACTGGCTTGTACCGGAGAATCCGATCGATGTAACAATGAAAACCACGGAACTAGCACAAGGTGGTCGCCCATTGTCTTTATGTACACGTTCACAACGACACCATTATCACTATGGTGTGCTGCTTGTGTATTTCTATCTATATTTCTATCCATATTTCTATCCATATTTCTATCCACATTTCTACCCATATTAAAGATTAAGGGTGCGTAAATATATTTAAGATGTCTTTACGAACTTAAAAACGCATATGATTCATTATATATATATATATAGATAGATGATTATCTTATGGTTTAATAAATTATTAAGACTTATATTTATAACCTATTTCGTGAAAACGGAAAGTTTGACATGGTACGCATGTCCGACATGTGTTTTTATGCTATATATATAATTAAAAGTCGATCGTTTAACTTAATCACGAGTTTTACTTGTGTAACTAATTGAATGCACAACCCCAAGATTAATACCGTATGACCTTGTCAAATGAAAATTTCAAGTTTTTTAATTTTTTTTTAACGTCCCGGACAAAGTTATCCGATCATTACGTATTACTTTTAAATGAATTACGTAACATGTGACTCTTTCGTATCAATATCCATATGTTTAATTTTAATTTCTAATTTTAGGTAAATTTAGTTAAAATCAAACGTATAACATTATCGTTATGTATCTATATATATATATTATTATATATATTATATATATATAATTATTTTGTATAAACAAATATTCATCATAGGTTTTTCGGCAATTTTCTTTCAAAAATACTGCTTTGTAGTCTTTGTACGTAGTAAAAAAAAATTTCAATAATAAACGTAATCATGTTTATCGCAAAAAGTTGCCCGACGTTACAATAACTTCTTTTTCTAGCTCGAAATAAATTTTTACAATTTTGTTACGTCACTTTTTTTTTAAAAATTACTATATACGGTATATTAGTGTTCGTAGATCCCTTAAAAACATGCGTAGCATTTCCAAACTTTCTGTAAACAAATAGGGAATTAAATGTAGGTTTCTATATTATCTACAGTTCGATAGGTTCTTTTACTATATATATTTACTATATAAATGTTATATGTGCTCAAATACTGTATATAACTACTAAATAAATTTTATAAATTTTCTTGATAATAATATAATCAATTTAGCAATTAAAAACCTTTTGAATTTTATAGTTTTAGATATTAAAATTGATTACTTTATTATTGAGTCATTATTATTAAAATTTTATTAAAAATTAAATAAATTTTACTTTTAACAAATCTTTAACAATAATATTTTAGATAACACCGTGTTAATATAACACCTATATACAGTATATAGTTTTATTTAGAGTTAGAGTTCAGTTTTAAGATAAATAAGATTTTTTATTAGACATGAAGTCCCGATTTCAGTTCCCGTGAGGTTTTTGGGGGTCCCGAACATCTAGTACGTATGTTTTTGAGATATTGCATAAGGTGTTATATAACACGGTGTTATAAATATAACTTTCCATTTTAGTAATAATTAATTTTAAATTTTAAATTGTATATATAACTATAAAATTTAAAAATTTTAATATATTAAAATTAAACTGTTGCTACGTAACTTGCTTCAAAGTAATGCCATCTACAAATACTAGATTTCAAAAGTCTATTAACTAACTTATATAAAGGATACTAAGCAACAATATTTAAAACTTACAAAAATCTAACTAAAAATTTATTATTATTATTATTATTATTATTATTTGGTGTTAAAGTAACCTTTCCTTTTATTCAATTATTGTTAACTTTTACAGTATGGTATACCATACCATATATATTACTAGCCATACATGCAACTTTTGGTTGCCTATTAAAGTAGTTTACTTATTACTAAGTTTTACATTAGATGTTATATCTATAACTCAACTAGAGGTTATCTATTTAAACTCTCTGCATCTATGTATATTAATAAAAATTTATTATTATAGTATTATTTTATAAATACTGTATAATACTTAATATTATTTATATAAAATATTATATATATTGTTTATCAACTTTTTCTAATAATTTTTTGTTAATATTTTAAAAAACTAAACTATAAAAAAACCTAAAACAAGTAATATTTTTAGTTTTATAAAAATAAATATGTTGTTAAAAAAATTACAAATATAAAACACTAAGAAGCAAAACAACTTATATAGTTTTTATAAAAATTAAAGTTTGTTTTAAATAAACTTTTCTATATATTTAGCATCTAAACTATTTAAAAATACAAATAATTAAATTAATACTAAAAATATTAAAATTAAAAGATATTTTTATATAACTATAATTCTTATAAAAAACAATTTATAAAATCTTATTAATTTTTTACCTTTCAGCAAAAAAATTTTTAACAAAAGCAAATAAAGTTATACAAATTTAATTTATTAATTTTTATGATATAAAATTTTTAAACAGATCTGGCTAACCAGCTTTTTTTTTAAATTTCATATATAAAAATTTTATAAAATTTTTATAAATTTTTTAAAAAACTTATCTAATTATTAAAACATATAAAAATATTTTTTGAAATTTTTGAATTTTGATTAGTATTTTGTAAAACCAAACTAAAGACTTAGAACTGACCAAAACTGCCTTTTGATTCGAATTCGGGTTTGTTATTTTTTAAAAAATTCGGTCCAGATCTTTAGTTAAACTCGAACCAAAGTCAAATAAACATATTGTATTTCAGGTCTTTCAGGTCAGTTCCAGATTTTTTTAGTTCTAAGATCCTATTTAGACTTGATTCAAATTTTTGGTTTGAGTTCAGATCTTTAAAGAACTTGCCCAAAACTGGTTCGTGCAGAACACTAATTTCGATTCAGCCAAGTTATAAAAATCAATTAATTAATTTTGTATAGTCTAATTTAATTTATTTTTTTAATTATCAATATCTTAATTTTTAAAATAATTAATATTATTTAATATTTACAAAATATTACAAAAATAGGACGTAGCGACTTAGTAAAGTAGTCAAGTTGTTACCCCCCAAGTGGCAAATCTAGTGTCACGGGTTAATTCGGTACCCCGGGATTTCGTGGTGCCGGGTTTGGTCTGGATCGGGATACGTAGATGGCGTGA